GCATTTATCCGTCCTCGGACGGAAACGAATTTTCAATTATCAGACACAAAAGGACCGGGTAATTCCCGGGTTTAAAACGTCTTCGCGATGCACGAAGGTGGAAGGGTAGAGCACGGAGTACGGGGCGGTGCCATGAAAAGATTTTCAAATTAAATTTCAGGATTAGTACCCTGGTTTAATACGGACAAGTGACGGCAGAAGACGTCCCAGGGGTGTGCTACGTGCTACCTTCGCCTTCCCCATGGGACACCCGTGCACACCAGGCCACTGTGTAACAACCATGTACCCACCCCTCTTTCCGCTAACGCTTCGCGCCTTTCCCATTTGCCCGATGTAAACTTCTCGTTCCGTGGCCTTCCCTTTCTACAAACGACTCTTCTTCCGGCTCGTCTTCTGTCCTCTGTCCAGCTGGACTCAATTTCGTCGAGCTGCGGGTCGAAAGGGGGCACAGATGCGTAGCCGGAATAAACGGAACGAGGGGGGGGGGATTTTGCGACGCTATTGGAAATGATTCGCAAGGAAGAAAATTTTTATCATTGCCATTTTTTCACAATTTTCGTTCAATAAATATATACTCAGCAGAGATGAAGAAAAATAATCTCAGGGTGTCCGGTGCAAGGTCGAACCCGATTTCCATGGGGTTCGATCAGAGGCGGCATCCAGCGGGATTAGAATATCAATTATCGAAGAAACACGGGCCCCCAGGTTCTAAAGAGGTTCTATTAGGTTCGAGCGCAAGGAAGGCAGCCAGCCAGCCAGCCAGGCAAGCAAGGCCACGGGTTTAAGGTCTTAACAGCTACTAAAGCAAAAGCTCCTTCTGTCTCGCTCTTAAGCACGGAAAACAAGCCGTGTTAGACGAAGGGGTGTATTGAGGGCCGCCATTGGCTATCCACGCTCCTTTATTGCCGGTTGCCTGGTAACCGGCCTGCCGCCGACACACACCGATCGCAACCACCCTGCAAACCACCCTGGAACCCGACGGCAACGCGCACACCCTCGCTTAGGAACACCAACTCGCAACCACCACCACCACCATCGCCACCATCTCTCGCGACCCTCTCCTCGACGCTCCACCAGACACTAACACACTCTTACCCATCGTTTTCTCAACATCTTCGAACGCGCGCACACCCCGAACAGCCGCGAGGGTGTGCGAAGGAATCTTCGTGTAATCATCCTTAGAGGGTTTGATGGTGTTCGTGTGTGAAACAACCCTACCCCGAGCCTTCGAGTGTACGTACGCATGGCGTGAATATATTTAGCGAGGAAACTACCACTGTTTTCACGCGAGAGGGTGTTTCGAGAGCCGACTCTTACTCGAGGCTGACTCTCTACGCGCACAAAGTCTACCACGCTCGCTACCCGGCAAGATTGTGCAAAGTTTTCTCGGAAGCTACTGCGTTTCTTTGTTTTTTATCGGTAACCAGTTGCAGAAGATACTATCGTGAATGATATTATGTATAAGGGGGATGAAGTCGTTTAGTCAGGGGGTATATATGTTAGAAAATATCAACCCTTGAAAATTGACAAGGATTTGTTATCCTATTGTAAAATTATTTTCTTCATTGAAATATTAAGATCTTGCAGCTACCCTCATTTTGACGCGAAGCTAATCAGCCCCAGATCCACCCTCGAATCCAATAAAACGATGACGATTAATTCGTAATAGGAAGGACTGGCGTGTAATCTTGCCAGTTCTCTCGTCGAGGAGATTAAAAACAATTTCTTCTCAAGTGGCTACGTGCACAAACAGTGTCTCCCTAGTTGAAGTTCCCGAGGGAGGTCGCGACATCCCACGATGTTCGAGTGCACTACGAACGGATTAGATCCAGGACAAATTAGAGGAGAGAAATGTTCCCTCGTTCCTTGAATATATATATATGTATATGTATATATATGTAACAGGGTAGAGGGCAAACGTGTCTCTCTAGTTAATAGCTAACTGGATTTGATTAATCGATTCGGTTACAGCCTCCTACTTAGCCATCCTGACGCTTCCTGCTGCCTCTAATATCGATCATTCCTGACCCGTGGAAAACGCACTCCCACACTGGATTACAATATTTTCTAGCTTTCCAAAATTATGCGAAACGATTGTTTTATTCCGTGACGAGGAAGGTTATATTTCACTTGGAACCTGGGGGAAAATATTTTCACTTGTCTTGGAGGAAGCTTCCAGTGGAGAATGGTCGATTCTTTCTTTTGAAATATTCAAAGGGGATGATATTAAATATCGTGCTCTCATCTTCAGCATTGAATTATATTTCTCTCCGATGTTTCGGAAGACTGGTGTTTCTTGGAAAGCAGGAGTGACAGTTCAATTTTCTTTCTTCAGCTTTCTCTGGATCGACGCGTAAAGCGATCGGTTCGACGTCCGTTCGCGGTACAAAATAAGCGTACTTAAACTGGGAGCAGGAAGAAACGCGGCGCAGGGTGGCGCAAAGAGGCCTCTCTACGATCTTGTAAAACAATGTATCGCGCGAACCGTCTCGAGCCTCAAATATTTATTTTCTATCCAGGTCGTTGCACGATTTTCAGGCAATGTTATATCAATTTTTCTTGCAATCACTGCTGCCAGTCTACTTCAATTATTCTTTCGGCCCAGAAATAAATTATTTTCCACTGTAAAATAAAGGGAAAAAGTCGAAAAGGTACTTTTGACCGCTGCAGAAGTTCCTGTATGCTTCGAGAAGAAACACCGGATAAAATTAAACTCGCACGCGAGTTTGTCTGAATCGACTGAATGCACCCGACGCTTCCTCATTAAGTTTTTCGTCTTCGCAATCCAGCAGGAATACTTTCCTACTTGTCGAATTTATAAGGAACGAAAATTTCCATTGAAAATAATCAGGAATTAGAATCATTTGCAAATGTTTAATTAGTTGCCCTTCGATAGAAGATTCATCCGAAAACAGTGAATTTCTTTCATTTTTAATCAAATTCCTTTCATTCCTTTTCGAAAGGACGTCGCCAATAGTTGGAATACGCTGTTCTTCCTTTGGCTTTGAGGAAGCATTTTGAAAAAAAAGGGAGAGCGGTGAAACACAAGCAACGAAACGAATGCAAAAGAGCAAAACGCGAGACGAACAAGGAAGAATTAACAATGCTTTACAAAAGCAGCCTTCGCTATTTTCGCCTTGTATGCGTGGTGGGTCGCGAGCAACCGTGAAACAACTCGACTCGAAAAAATTCAACACGGAATTCCTCTTTTGCTTCTCCGGCCTTTTCCCGATGTTCACGCGTTCGGAAAACTAGCTTTGACTGTGACTTATACAAAGTTGAAACACTTTATTTTTCCACCTAACAATTTATCCAATGCGATTCTCGTTGCTCAAACTCAATCGTGAATTCCCATAGAAAAGCCACATTGTACATTTCCCAGCTGTCCACCGAATCGTTGACCATTTGTTTTATTCCATCAAGAATTTAACAAATTTGTAATAAAATTTTTCCTTCGAACGTACCGACTGACCAGAAAGTAATTATACAATTACTCGTTAGAAAAATATGCAAAATTTTGTAATGAAAATAAATAACATCGTGGAAAAATGTAGGACGACGTATGAAGTAATCGTGAATATGACGTCAGCAATGCGTTTCGTGGATCCAATTAGTCGAAGAACACGTATAATTGGAATTAAGCTCTTAATTAATAGTTAATTAGCCGTCGGTAGTAACGGCACCGGCACCGGCACCACCAACAACTGTAGTAACGAGTTAGCCCCGGGGAGAGGGTTTCATTGTGGGAAGAGCGGCGCGCGCCACGTCGAGCCGGTTTTCGCTCGTTAATTCGAAATTAATTTATAATTGATAATTAATTTCGGGCCACGGGTCCTGTCCGCCTGCCCGCTCCCGCGAAACCTTTCTAATTTTCTGCCTCTCTACCGCGGCCGGGGAAAAAAACCTGCCATTTACTACTCGCCACGCGTGCACCAATCGTCGAGTCACCAGCGAGATATTTAAAAAAGAGAAAATATAAAAATCCTGCCTCTCTTTCTCTTTCTCTATCAGACAAGCACCGTTAGCTGCTCCGTAATTGGAGAACCCGGGATTTTTCATGTGAAAAATCCATGCACGACCAACCGGACAACAGGCTTTCGTGACTTACCCCCTTTTCCTCTTTTCCCTCGCGCCAATTTTTTCCTTCGAAGCCACTCCATCGCGCCGTAGGAAACTCCGTTATCGGTAATACATTTTCCGGGTATTCTGACGGAATATCGAGTGTCAAGTCCTCGCAACGACAGTCGATATCGAGCAAGAGAGGAAATTTCTCTCTATTTCCCACGATCGAAACTGGTCGTGTCGTTAATTGACTTTTTATTCATCCCTTTTCGGCAGGGACGCTTTACACTCGATGTTGCAAACGTTTGACGAGAAATTTCAGAGAAAGTGGGACTACGTAATGTGTGCTTCTTAGTGGCGTGTCGATAGTTACAAAGGGTGAAATTGGAACAGGAAAAGAGATAAAAGTGTTCGGCGAATTTGGGTTACGTAGAAAAGCTTCTTCTCTGTATTTTACTTCGTTTTAATTGTGCCGTTGGGAAACTGTAAATAACAACGTTCTAAATTGATCATCCTTTCCTGAATTCGCTTTTTAACCGAGGATTAATTTTTTTCGTTAATTGATATCGAAGGATGGGGAAGGAAAATCAACGAGATAAACGCTAATACATGCTAAACATTCGTTGAGCACAATTTGCGTGGGATACGTATGGTCTCGATTCATTGGCAAGTCAGGTATAATGGGTAATTTGATCCTCGATGTACGCGCGGCTGGAACAAAGCGGCGTGTATAATTATCAATTACACTCGATGCTATGAAATGATGAGCATCGAGTCTAATGGATCGTTACTACACGCTAACCAAAGATTTTTTCACAAAAACACTATTAATTATTTCAATTTGATCGTCATTGAAGACGTTCCACTGTGAATTAGTTGCATAAATTCTTCGACGATCATCATGTTCGAAGTGAGTGATTTTAATGATACTGTTTCAGGTGTGGGGCACAATATAGAGTCGGGAAAAGACTTCACCGTCGACGGTCTCTCTGGTTTCAGCAAAAAGAAGAAAAAGAAGCGCCGTCATAGGTGAGTGTCTCACCCGAACATCAGCCAACAGTTTTTTAAGTTTACCGTTATCTTCGTTCTTAATTAAAATATTAAACAGAAAAAATCGGATCGTTCTATAAAATCAACGCGATAGAAACGGCGAATAATTAATAACCAGTGGGAAAATTTTCGACGTTCCATCCGGGGGATTATTCTTCCGCGTTCTCCCTTAATTATCCGCCGAACAATCGTTCGCAATAATGATAAATTTATTCCCAACGAACGTATACACACATCATTTCGAACTTTTCGACGTGTAATCGGCGCCTACCCGTGGTAATGAGTTCCCAGAAATTTTGAAGCGACAGATAATCCAATACCAATCATCGTTCGCCAATGATTGCACATCAGATGAACGAATTCATGTTGAAATTATTTGCTGAAAAAAAATATAATTATCGGGAGAGGTTGATTTTGCTGGGATATTTTGAAAATTCTCTACTTCGATGATTTCCCAGATCGAACCTGGTCTTGTGAAACAATTGTTTAATTTGAAAAAAGGGAATCGAAGAATTCAAATTGATAGCCATCTTCTTTAACACGTTCACTGCCTTTGAAATTTGTCTGCCTTCAATTTTATCAAATATTCTTTTTCCAATTCAAAGTCTTGACAGTCAAAGTGTTAAAGCTAATGATTCGACATAATTTTCTACCGAAGAAACCCTAAAGATTGACACGTGCAAATCTTTTGTACCTTTTGAGTGTAGGCTAGCTTTAAGGGAAAAGCTGTAATGGCATATAACTAGGTTCATACGGTTGTTGCTCCAGGACGATCTTCACGTCACAGCAGCTGGAGGAGCTGGAGGCAGCGTTCAAGGAAGCCCATTATCCTGACGTGTATGCCCGCGAGATGCTCAGCCTTCGAACCGATCTGCCCGAGGACAGGATACAGGTGAGCGAAAATCAAAAGACCTATGAAATCCGACCTGGTGACCTACGAATCGGAGGAAGCTCGATACCACCATCGCATCCTTGCTGAAATTCGCGACTCAGTGGTATCGTGTTTCTTCGGATACTCCTGAACCTGATCTACCTCGGATCGAAGATACTTTTCTTAGTCGTTGACTCCTTTCTTACAAATCTATCTATCCGTTCGAACGATCGATTTCAATCAAATTTCGATTACCCGGGAATAAAATGATGAAGAGATTAAAAAACACAATGTACGTAGGTCTGCTTCAATTTTCAAACGGTCAGCAAATATTTCCACGCAAAGCAGGAAATATAATTCGCTATCATGGCCACAATCCGCTTGCTCGATAATTTCGTTCGTTAACGAGAATTAACACCGTTACACGCTCTCGTGAAAATTTACCGCGTTGTTCGGCTACGATCGCACGGCATAATCACCAAAGATATAAAGCTCCGATACGTTTTCACGCAATTACAATGTGCGTTCGTTCTGTCGTCGAAAATTCGACCGTAGAATTGCGACAACGAGAATATGCTTTTTGCGAACGGCTCCCACGTACGCGTTTTATTCGTCAAAGAGAATCGTTATCAATCACAGTGGCCGTTTGGTATTAGTTGTGCCCGTGTAAATTACCAAGTAATTAATTTCGTTAATTTGTAGAACATCAATACGATAACGCGGGACACAGGCTGTTTATTTTCAATGCGATCGCTAATGAACATCGTGATTAATTCGAACGAAAAAGGAGTTATTTATTTTTCTTTCGTTGTAACAATCAGCCTGAATCACCGGTAACGAATTTATTTCCTATTTATTTATACAGACGGGTGGATAACTCTTTCAAAAAATCACGCGGCCGATTTTTAACCGAAACGAATGTCTCGCGAATGGCAACCGGTTCGATCTCGCGTTGAATATCGCGCAGAATTATCGACATCGCGCGTACAATGCAGGAAAAGAACAGTCGCGAGCGAAAAGGGTGGTAGGGTTTTCGAGGGCCGGGGGGTAGAAAGGGGGTGGAGAGAGTGGCAGGACCAAAAGGCACGACCATAAAAGGGAGAATTTTCCCGGACTGACGGTTAGTTACCGCGGACCCATGGAGTACTAGGTTGAGATAGGTTTCCGCATGGCGGACCCGGGACAAGCTTCCCTCTCTCTCCCTTTCCCGCGTCCCTCTTCCTCTCCTCGCGATTCAACCCTCCCTGTGTTTCTCTCCGCTTCGTCCTTCGCGGCGATCTCTCCCCTCCAACCGACATGCGTACGCCCTGTTGCCAAAATCCGGATGAAAAAGGCAAGGGAAAAAGAAAATTCGAAGGCGGCACGTGGATGTGCGCGAGTAACTTTCTCCACAGGTACCCGATACCCGGGCACAAAGAATTCTATAAACACACAGGGGTGTTGATAGTATTTCGATATAATTCCTGGAGCAACGAGGGTGGGTCCGGGTGGCGGTGGTCCGCGAGAAGCAAAGGTGGCAAAGGAACCGCTGGAGGAGGTGTATACCGAGGGGTTGAAAAGAAACGAACCTGGTGAGAGCGAGAAGGACCAAGTCGGTTGACGTTCCAAGGACAGAAAGAGAGAGAGAATGAGAGAGGTAGAAAGAGGAAGGCCACGGGAATGACAGGGGAAGGGTGAAAAGACAGGAGAGGGGAAGGGATAGGTAGGTAGGTACGGTCGGAGTCGCGCTTCACGGGGTTGTTGAAGCTTCGTGGCTGAAGCGTGCAGGCGCGTACACACAGGGAAGAGCGAGAGGAGAGTGTAGCGGCGCCGTGAAACGACAAAGCGGCCATTGCAGGATGGGTGCGGTCCCGCGGGCCAATCAGAGAGACGAGTCGCGGACCGGTCGGCCAATCAGACCGCGCCTTCCATCCGTCTTTTGTTTCTAAATTTGCGCGCGCGGCGGGGACACAATATAACGAGCGCGGGGACGGGAAGAGGGGTTGATAATCGTTAACGGTGATATTTTTGTATAGGAGTGCCGGCTTTCTTCGTCTTTTCTCTACCTCCACCTTCAACCTACCCTCCCACATGCGAGCACACACTCCTCCCTTCCAACACCCACATCGTTCCTCTTCTCCTCCTTCTTCTTCTTATTTTTCTTCGTTTGTTTCGTTCGCCACGCGAATACGATTCCGTTTCGCGGCTTTCCATCGAGTTTCTTCGTCTTTCGCTCTCCTCTATCGCGACTCCCTGTCTTTTCTAATCCCTTTGTAGCTTCTTTATACATTTCCTTTGTCTCGGGCGCAGTTTCGTTTCTCCCGCGCTCTTGCGCGCACACGCCTGGCCAGAACGCGACGCGACGCGACGCACCGGGCAGTTTTCATATCGATTAGGGCCATTTTCTGGCGGTTGTTCAGGATAGCAACGTGGTCGCTAGTCTGAATATCCTACTCCTCTATCAAATTATACAAATTATAAATTAGAAATTAAAATGGAGATTTGGCAATTTCGATTCCACATAAATCAATTGAAACATTAACACGTGTCGTGTGTACACATGATTTTTATTAACTCAATCAGCAAGAAGTGGTTCCGACTTCTGAAATTTCACGATCAAGCTTCCACAGAGCCTCGTCATCGAATTAAGCAGTAACGAACCGTCAACGTCGACACGAAGAAAGGGGCCGGAAGTGGCTGCTTCCGCTATCGAACGAAATTATCGCGTCCACTGGACGACTCGACGTTGCACCGTCTGTCAGGTTTCGCGCGTTCAGGTGTTATTACTTGATTAAATGAATGAATTCGTCTCTGACCCGTGGCACGAACGAATTAATTAGTTATGCCTGATGAGTTACCCGCTCTAGCCGTGTTCTTCTATCAACTATATTCTTAATCAGAACAATACAGAAAGAAAGTGTGTATTCCCTTTGAACAGTCGCAGACTTGATTTTTCGTATCGAGAAGCTTTCTCATCTCGGAGAGGGACAAAGGAACGCAAAGCAGAGGAAGAAGAAAGAACAAGGCCTTTCTTTGAGAACGAGGGAAGAAATATTTCTTCTCCTCGCGAAATTAGAAAGCTCCAAGACACTTTTCATAGTATTCATCGTCCTGACAATACTCGTTTCCCCCCCGAATACAAAGACTTTAATACACTCTGTACTCCCGCGTCTGGATATCGACGAAGGGATCGTAATAATTACCGATCCTCTAGTTTCCTATTCGTTCTCTTCATTCTACTTTTCACAACTCGTAACACGCTCGACGATGAAAGAAAAACCGGAATGCTCCCGCGGTGAAGTTAATCGAAATGTCTTCGACAGACCCGTGTCCCGCGCGCTCGCGTAATTGTACGTGCGGACAAGTGATTGCAACGTTTCCATCCATGGTTCACATTTTCTTTTTTACCGTCGATCTATCGAAGATTTGTATATATAAAAGGAACTCGAAAACGGGGAGAAAGAAGAGAGAGGCTGATTTCCAAATTCACCCCATACACGGTGGGAAGGAGCGATCGACTTGACTGCTCGTTATCGCGATCGTTCTCGTACTCGCGACTCGGCTGCTTCTGATTGGCGCGGAATCGCTCACAAACGGACGTAATTTCGGTGGCCGGAGGGTTACGACTTTCTTACGGGGGTGAGAAAATTACAGGCTGCCACAGCACACGTTCTTTCACGCCGTGATCGATGTATACCACCGGGCAGAAGGGGGATCCTAACTCGCCAAGTGTTTCGGACAAAATGACACCACGAATCACTGTTCAATTACTGTTTAATTTCAGCGCCACGCGTGCGCTTAATAAATCGTAACCCCCGCGGGCCGCGGCACTTTTAGCTGCAATTTCTCGTGCTAATCGCGTTTGAAACGTATGATTTTCGTTGGGTAATACGGGGCTTCGCGACCGTCGATCATTTTTTTATCGTACTCGAACCGGTCCATCGCGCCATTCACGATTCCTCTTTTCTATGTTTAACGAACTTGCGTCAAAAAATGACCGAGTCCTCTTCGGGTTAAAGTCATAATCTTCCCCGAACGGATAGACGTTTCCCGGTTGAAGTTATCCGGGTAATGAGACCCGAGACTCCCACGGGCTCGTTCGAAAAAACAACACGCGTATATCCTCGTAAGCGGCCCATTAGCGAAGAATTTTGACGTGGCTCAGACAATCGTTGCTCGCGGCTAGGAGGATGGAAAGCTGGTCGTTCTGTCGAGGGGAAAAAAAAAAAAAAAATTGACTTCAAGTAGCGAGGAACGGCTCGCGAGACGCAAGTCATCCAGGAGGATATCTGGAGGGTTCTCAGCCGGCTTCCACGTACGTTCCTTGACAAAGGTACGATCCGAAGGAAGCCCCCTTTCCTGACAACGGGGCCCCATTGTCGGTTCACGTTCGGCTGAGGCGCCATTGAGGATTTCGTTGGAACTGCCAGGTAGGCAGGCGGTCTCCCACATTTTTTTCCTACACTTTTTCTCTCTCTCCTCCTCGATCATCGTGCACGATCATCGTTGGCCACCGGCTCGATACGCTTCGTAGCCGTGTAATTATCCGCTGGAACCATTGGTTCGTGTAATCGGGATCTTGTGGTAGTTTAGAAGCGCCCACTTGATCATCCGGAGACTTCAATTTAGCGCGGAGGGAACGGTGATTAGGATGTTAACACCTGGCACGTTTTTGTGCCGTTTAGAATTTTCGAAGACCCCGTAACTTCTGTTTGTATCTTTCGATAGGTATATTTGATATAATTGGGGAGTAACGAGAGAGGATACGATGATTTTAGAATTTTCATCTGTTTAAATAAGAAAATAAGTGTCTCGGATGAAGTTAACCGTCTGTCGAGGGAAGAATATCTTTTATCGCTCGTTTTCGCGTCGAACGAGAAGTTCTTGGAAGAATAATACGTTGAATCCAACAAAATGGCGTTCCATTTCGAGAATTTCCAAGCGAGTACGTTGTCGGAGCGAAGGCATCGCTCGTAAAACCGAATAAGAGGCTCGTTCGAACTCGATCTCGCTCGACAAAGATCCTCGATTCCTCAATTGCT